ATCTCATTTAACAAACAGTTGATTATACCACCCTTATCCAGTATACGTCTCTCCTAATTATGTCACACTTATTTTGAATATACACCTCTCCTGATTATGTCACCTTTATCCCAATATATGTCTCTCCTGATTATGCACCCTTATCCTAAAATACACCCCTCATGATTATGTCACCCTTATTCCAATCAGTTGATAATAACATATCAGTTGATATAATCAAATTATTAGATAAAAATCACGTAGCTTTTTTCTTTTCTGCTTCTGTTTCTTCGAATTCAGGAAACCAAGAATATTTCATCGACTTTCTTATCTCTTTACCACCCAAAACCCAAGAAGAAAACAAATATCTCAATATAAATACATATTTTTAAAAGAGGCAGTGGTGGTTAATATTTTAAAACAAATTTTTCATAACACACCCCTTAACATTCAAATCATTTTAAAAGCAACCCTTAAACTTTTCCTCAAATAAAAACACGATTATAACAATTCTCCCGACATTTTCCTGGTTATTTTCCCGTATGTTCTCCAAAAATTACGTTTGCTACATAAGTTCCCTTAGATGTGATTCACCTAACACAGTTTACGTCGTCACAACAACTATAGTCTCGCGTAGACAGATCTAAGAAGCAAGATCAAAGGTATCATTTTGTGAGTTCTTCTACATCACTGAAAGATAAAATAGATGCACAATAATCGACAGTGTTCTAGTGGATGGTCGACGAAGAGTAGATGCAGGTGGGGTAGGGTGGGGGCATGGGTATGGGTTAGGGTTCACTGATCGGGTTTGAAGGAGGGTCAAAGAAGAGGCTAGTGAAGAGGGTTGTGATTTTTGTTCAACATGGAGAAGAAGAAGGTTAGGGTATCTGTTTAACTCACAGTTAGTGTTCGCGTGGATGGTCAATGAAGTGTAGGTTGGGGTGGGGGTAAGTTGGGGCATCATGGAAGCGAGATGGGAGAGGATGGGGCGTGAGGGAGGTAGATTGAGGTTTTTACTTTTTTGTTACATTTTTTATAATAATATATAATTTTAATTTTTTTAACAAAAATTTAAGAAAATGGGTAAAGACTAAAAATGTCCCTTTTTGTCGGGCTTAACAGAAGAAACTAATACTTGCATGGTGGGAGAGATGAAAAACTAGCGATTTTGCAAAAGACAAAGACAAATGCAGAATAACTAAAGATTAGAGACGATTTTCGTCACAAGTGACAAATGTTAGGGACCAAATCCGAGATTTACTCTCGAACAATATTGTATTTTCTCTCATGGCATATTCCATCCTACAATCTTCAAAAATAATATTGAGAAAGAAAAAAAAATCGATCGTCTTGCAAATGATGATTTTGTTGAGAATCTAGGTTTCATGGTTACAATCACTTGGATAATTTCTTAAATGTATACTGATACACTTTCCAAATACCATATTTCGACCATTTATGTTTTGGGTTTCACGAAATAAGTATTGGGATAATCCAAGAAGTCACTCAGGTCTCGAGGTAGAAAACACAAGTATACATATACACTAGATTAATCGTTTTGTATTATAAGAGAGATCGATGATTACAGGGTAATCTTGCAGTTAATAGATAACTACAAAACAGTTATAACTCGTTGTGGGTAAGATTGAAACGAATTAGAAATTGACTTAGAAGCTCTAAGTTAGAACCCAGTAAGGGTTGGAGAAGGGCAATCACTCATTCTTAAAACCAGCGTTCTTAAGGCACCAGAAGCTTTTGAATCCATGCTTAGTTAGTGGGACTACTGCGAGGGGCGTTGACCCTAGGACCCCGTAAGGGAGCACAACCCCATTGACCTCCCGTCTTCTGGTGATAGAGGCAACATTTGTGAATTTGCACTCTACACTTCCTAACTCATGTTATATGTTTGCCTTATCACCAAGTTAATCCCTTGTAAATCATAATTACACTAAAATGTTTGATGACACTAAGATCACCAACATATTTAATACACGCAATCTGTGTCCATAAATAATCAAAACCACGTGTCTTTATTCTCGGGTACTCATCATGCAACAGTATAAAATGATTATCATATGTTTTCTTATAAAAATGAAAAACTGAAAAACGAGAAGGGGTTGGTGGATAAAATACGAAACGTTGGTTTAGCATGTGTCATATTCGCGTGGTACAGATGATCATTAAAGATTAAGTCATTGATTGAAAGACTTAGAAAGTCCATGAATCCATATAAAAGATTGTTATATATATATATATATATATATATATAGAGAGAGAGAGAGAGAGAGAGAGATATGAGCGATCAAATGAAAACACTCTCATTTGTACAAATCGTACAAACCACCCTCATACGTCGATTTCATTATTTAATCTTATGAAAATTTTTCATTAAACTATTTAATCTTGTGAAATTATTTTATATAATATTTTTTTTTATGAATTTGTTTCATATATGGTTATGAAATTGTTTCATATAATATTTAATGAAAATGTTTCATGAATTTCTCTAATTAAAATAATGAAGATGATAATATCCATGATTAACAACTTCCACAATGAAAATGGTTAATCAACCTCTCATAATTACAAAAAAATGAACAAAATAAAAAATTATGATTGGTTGAATGAGGTTTTCATGATTTGTACAAATTGAATGGTTTTTATTTGAACGTTCATCTCTCTCTCTCTCTCTCTCTCTCTCTATATATATATATATATATATATATTAATGGTTTAAATCGGTTATTTGAAAAAGTGGAACAAGAAAATGAGGGGTACATGTATTGCATTCTCATGGGACCATTAATGATTCTTAAAGGGACCATAAAGAGAATAAACCAAACAACAAAAGTTCCCAAATTTCACACAAAATCTCCACTATGTCTATAAGAATACATACCAAGTGACCACCAAAACCAACAACTCTTAAAATCACAGACATAACATAACATAACATTCCATTTCTATAGCAATTTCTTGACAAACTTTATAGAATTCAAACCTTTTACCATAATCCTGATTCCGTGTGGTACCTCTTTAGATGCATTGTCGACAATTGTTTAAACGAAAGTAAGATGTTCGATATTGGACGGCCGAAAAGGAGACGAGTGGACCGATTAAACTTAAGGTTTTGATGATGTTAGAGCAAAACGTTTGTATTACGTGTATCAATCACAAAATTCAAGTGACTTTGCTAGCGTTCTATTCAATATGTGATGAATTTTGACCCGACAACCAATATAAAAATGAATATAGACATCAGGGAGACTAGTATTGTTATTCTTTGACATAAAAACACAAGACATCAAATAGCTTAACTTCCGGGAAAGAAAATTCGAATAGATGTGCACAAAGACAAGGCCATCTATATAACAAGTCACTTTTCATCGCATCAGTGTTTTAAAAGGATCGACATAGACCACAAGGGTGGTGCATTATTGGTTTGAGCTTGGCCCCAAAGGTCAAAAGTACCAGGAGGTCTCAGGTTCAAATCCAAGGAGGAATAAAAAACCCATTTGTGGCCACGGAGGTTCAAATGCGGTGACTCCGGGCTATCTGCAAAGTAGATGGTCACCCTGGAATTAGTCGATTCGCATAACGGGTTGGAAATCCAGGTTAATAAAAAAAAAAAAAGGATCGGCATAGTAGCCATGTGACTTGAGGCTTGTCTCTGATCCTACATTAAGTCCATGGCACACTACAAGCGATGCATAGTTTTTGTAAAATGTTACTTGATTTTTCTTATCATTTTATTGTCTTGCCATTTAGGAGGCGTTTGGTTCGTAGAATAGAATTCGATGGAATTGGAATTCATCAAATGAATTCGACTTTGAAGGAATGGAATGGAATTTAATGGAATTTGACCATGTCTTGTGATTGCGTTTGGTTGCATGGAATTGGAATGAATTTGGATTAGGGAAGGAATTTGTCGGATAGAAATTGAAATCCGAGGGTATTGCCGTGGAATGTAAAATCCACGAGTGAAGGAATTTATTGGAATTGAAAGAATTCCATCAGTTTTATTCCATGAACCAAACATTGTATTTGGAATTTGGTCAAAGGATTTGGCCTTTCCAATTCCTTTCAATTCCATCCAAATCCATGAACCAAACAGCCTCTTAGTTTTTAATATATAACTTAAAAATTCTTCAATATCATTAATTCATTGAGTAATAGTAGAAAACATAATACAATTACATTTATGATATTTAGATTTGCAGTCTTAAATCATGCATCGACTTGAGACTTAACTTCTTAAGTTCACACCTAACGTCATTTATAGCCTTACTTTGCATTAGAGCTAATCGTTTGCTGGCTTGGGCTAGATATATGGGCTTAATCTATTCTTTTATCCAACGGACCTAATATGGTAAAACCAAACCCGTTTTTTATCGGCTTAAAAACTTACCCATACACGCCCTATAACCGGGCTGGACTTGCCCATGGGCTAACAGACTTTAAATTCTTGTTATATTGTTATGAAAACAAAACTTATATAAAATCACAAAGTTATGTAAAATAAAATTCAAAATACATCACAATTTTTCCAACTTAAAATTTGACCTACTTTAAAAAGAAAATTGTTTCACTAATATAAAATATCGGTAAAGAAAATGACTAAATAAGTCATAATTAGGAAGGAATTGATAAGTATTAAGAATTTCCAATTTTAGTTATAAAAGTTAATTATTATAAAATCCAGCTATTAATTTTAACAAATCAGTTCAGTCCAGACCCACCCATTTCTTCGAGAATTGTAATCCAAACCCACTTTTCTAGTACTCATATCCGCCCATTAATTTTAACAAATCAATCCAGACCCACCTATTTCTTCGAGAATGGTAATCCAAACCCACTTTTCTAGTGGACCGAACAGGACGGGTTTGGCAGCTGTACTTTGCATGCTACTTTCTTTGCTACAAACAGCACTATGCTAAAGATCAAGATTGAAACAGAAGCAAAAGATACAATCTTTGAGCAAGATGACAAGCAGCACAAGATTTTTTTCAGAAGTCAATTAAGGTATGAAAGATGATAGTATTATGGTAGAAAGATGAAGTACATCCAATCCAAGGAAAAGGAAAAGGAATATCGAATTCACATAACATACCATTCGATAACACCACAAAGGATTTTATAACTTCTATGTCTTCCTTCACAACCAAAATAAAGAGATGAAATAGAAATAGAAATAGAACTGGGTCTGTAAACACCTCAAAAGACAACCTTATTCCTTCTCTTCTTTTCAAGCACAAACAAAGGACCACTGCTCGTCGTCACCCGTACCCACATCGCCTCCTGTAACCACGTCCCCACCCGTAACCACGTCGCCTCCTGCGCTTTCCGAATAGTAGTATTCATTCATTCCATTTGCAGCAGTCAAGCAGCAAGAAGATGCCACAGTCAAATAAGGCATGTTATGGAATGATTCAGCAATACCACCTGCCATTAGAGCTCCAGCCATTCCACCTTCGTCATCAACATACTCCTCGATTCTATGTTTCAGGGTTTCAAACATCACCTCTGGTTCGTGCTGCATCAGGCGGAGAACCTCGCTGCAAGACGGCCCTGCCACGGCTCTAGTCACAGCAAACCCATGTGGCCCATCGCTCTGAGACACCCGAATCAGGCTCGGTCCACCAAACAGGTTGTGAACACCACCAAGAGCCTCCTCGTAAGCACCACCTAAGAACATCCCTAAATAGTATTTACCTTCCAATTCATGAAGGGGTAAACTCGAGTCTCCACCGATGAACTTGTCAATCTTTCCATCACTATCACAAGTCAAATCGGATAGAATCCCCTTCTTGGATGGGCATTCTTCAAGACGATGGATTGGAAGTATAGGGAACAACTGTCCTATACCCCAGAAATCAGGAATTGATGTAAAAACAGAGAGATTAATATGATAAGTGCTGACTGGATCAGACGCCCCTATTGCCTTCCCCACCAAATCACATAACCCATCAACACCAGCCAACTGTTCGATATCCAAAGACCCATCTTTGAATTTCTCAACGCATCTCTGTTTCAACTGATCAGCATATACCAAACAAGATTCATAATCACCTCTAATGGCGGACTGTGACAGATTATGGTAATAGGAATGGGCCTCCTCAGGGAGCTGTTCCCCAAACTGCTGAACATCAAATGAAGATAAGGTTGGCACTGTGTACTTACTGCGAGAAACTGCTTCAAATATCAGAATTGAATGGTGGGAGACGATGGCTCGCCCGCTCTCACTGCAAATCACAGGATGCTTCACAGATTTCCGATCACAAACAAACTTCACCGCCTGTACAACGGCGGCGGCGTACTCTTCTAAAGTGTAGCCCACGGAGACATCTGAATCAGTGGATTTCGAACCATCGTAATCAATCCCGAGCCCACCACCTATGTCAATAACTTTCATGGAAGCACCTAGTCGGACTAGTTCACTGTAAATCTGCGCCGCCTCGCCCACTCCGTCGGCGAGCAAGGCCGTCGAAGGGATCTGAGATCCGATATGGAAATGGAGCAATTGAAGGCAATCCAACATACCATATTTTTCAAGCTTTTTCACAACACGGAGGATTTGGGTTGTAGTAAGACCAAACTTACCTTTTTCGCCGGAAGTAGATCCAAAGTGGCCAGAATGCTTTGTCCGGAGCTTGGCGCGGATCCCTACGACTGGAAGAACACCGAGTTTTCGGCTCATATCAATAACGGAATCCAGCTCTTCCTCTTGTTCGAGAACAATCACAGTATTCAATGAAAGCTTTCGAGCGATCAAAGCAAGTGAGATGTATTCAGCATCTTTGAAACCGTTGCAAATTAAGAGAGATTCAGAGCTTCCTTTGCAGAGGCAGCTCATGGCTAAAAGGAGCTCCGGCTTGGATCCGGCCTCCAATCCAAACCTGAAAGAGGATCCGAATTTGACAATGTCCTCCACGACGAAGCGATCCTGATTGCATTTCACGGGATAAACTCCCTGATAATGGGAGCCATAGCCTTGTGACTCGACGGCACAATTAAACGCCGACTGGATCGACTCGAGTCGGTTCTTAAGGACGTCCGGGAACCGGATGATGAGTGGAAGCGGCAGCTCGAGACCTCCAGACGATTTCGGGTCAGACGCCTTCTTCACCACCTTCAAAAGATCAATCTCCTGGTGATCCATGGTTCCGGAACCATGGGGACGGACGGTCACGTTGCCGGAGGAGTTAACAGAGAAGTAAGGCGCACCCCATCCATCGATTCTGTAAAGAGCAGCGGAGTGAGACGGTGACCAATGCGAGGCTGAAGATAAATCAGCAAGAACGGAATGAGGTACACCGGAAAATGGCTCCGGCGAGGGAAGAGAACCATCCCAGGCAGTGTAACCGGGAGGAAGAGGGGCGGCGGCGTCAACACAACACGCTAGGGCCGGCATCCCTTTTCCCCGATCTGTTAATTTAGGGTTAGAACGAAAGAATCAAAGAATTCAAAGGGCATGTATTTGGCAAAGTTTGTAAAGTTAGGGGGCTTTACAACCCGCCGAGGCCGGAGCCCCGGCTACCCCCTCAAAAGAAGCAAATGGAGATCTGAATCAAACGAGAAACAAACCCTACACTCCTAAGCAACACAAAAATCCCCACAACTACCTCTCAGAAGAAGAAATTATCCAAAAAAACACGAAATTACGTTATCAAATCAACCACCGAACCAAATCTAGGAATTCGACACTGATTCCACCATGCAAAACTAAGAAATTCAAAACTATCAAACACACCGGCGACCTGAATATCCCACCGGAAACCTAACGGCGGCGACTAAACCTAATGTTTTTCGGAGACGATTCACGAATGTGAAATAGGCGAGAATTGCATGAAAGTCGATGGCCCTTTATATAGTGGGGGGTTGGGGCTCTGGAAAGTGTATCCATTCTTTTTGTCAGACCTAAAATTTATAAACACAAATTAGTGTACAACATCTAATGCATTATATACAAATGATTACAACGAAAAAACCTGGTTTTAGTAAATAATGATCTGGAAAAAGAAAATCATCTTCAAAGGGGAACTAGTGTACACATTTTATTGCATATGGTACAAGTAAATGAAGATACATATAATTAAATTGTGCAACAAATGATTCATGATGTACAAGTGAATATAACAATTTAATTCTGTATTTGGTTGTTTATTTTCTGGAAAAATAAAAATTTAATTTTAAAGCTAACTTTTGAACAAAGTTTACGAAAACCTATGTAACTATCTTATTTTAAACTAGAAGGGTACTCGTGTAATGTAATGAGATTTATTTTATTATTGATTTCAGTCGATGTTATAGTATGTTTTTATGTGATTTTGAAAAAGCGTATAAACTTGAAGATATTGACAAAAATATATAGACATTAGTATCAAATTAACTATTTAAAATTCATGTTTTTTTGTGTAATTTTTTAATTTAATTTTTTTTATTATATGATTTAATTTAGGTACAATATCAAAGTAATTTATATTTGGTTTAATGATATAATTTTCTTATAAAGATAATAATTAATTATTTTGTTAGAACTCGATAATTATCATAATTATATTTTAGATCTTTTAGATTTTAAAATAAGATGTTTATCCTCTATTTGATTATGTTTATCCGCAGTTAGTTACACAAATTCAAACATGGAGCTTTAATAAGTTATACTTATGCATTATTTACTTGTAATCTTAAATTTTTTTTAAACAATATGTATCAATATAAAATACTTCATGCATTAAAAATTATATTTAAGTGTTTTTGTCAAATGATTTATAATATAGTATAGATGATTAAGTTTTTAATTATTTTTTTGAATAAAAAATTATTATACTTTTATATTTTGAATGACTGTACTCTTTTTTTTTAATAAAAAAACAGTTAAACTTTTTTATTTTGAATGATTAAGTACTTGAACATTTTTTTAAAACAAATAAATTATCGAACTTTTTGAAGTTAGTTATCAACATTTTATTAACAAAAAAAAACTACTTGTAACCGACTATAAAAGTCTGAAAGTAAAGAAACTTAATCAGTTTTACATTTTTCAAATCCTAATGCCCTTCAAACCCCTCGCAAACAACAGTATACTCCATGTCGCAACATCGTTGTCCATTCTTCATATCGATTATCACGATGTTGGCTTCTGTCATCGAGTCTTTTCGACCTATTTTAAGGGGTTACAAATACTTTTACTTTAAAACATTTCTAGTCGGCTACATGTATTTTTTTTCCTGGGTTAAAATGATGTAAGTAATCAATTTTTAAAAGTTCGATAATTTATTCCATAAAGAAAATATCTAGCAAAATAATCAATTAAAATAAAGAAGTTTAATGATTTTTCATTCAAAAATTAATTAAAGTACTTAATCATCTAAAATATGATACTTCGTTGGGTTTTAAAGTGAAAGTAATTGTACAACTTTTAATGCATAAAACACAAATTAGTATGCAAATAATATTATATCTTTAGTAATTAGAGCTCTGGAAAAGAAAGTCATCTTCGAATCTATACTATATTATAATGCATTTGACAAAAACACTTAAAAACCACTTTTTATGCATTAAGTACTGTTTATTGTTGCATATTACTTAAAATTCAAGACTACAAGTAAATTGTCCGTATGTGCAACTTATTAAAGCTCCGTGTTTGAATATGTGTAACTAACTACATATAAACATTATCAAATTATGGATAAGCATCTCATTTTAAATATAAAAAATCTAAAATATATTTAGGATAATCATTGAATTCAAAATACTAAATATTATCTTTATAAAAGAATTATATTATTAAACTAGAAATAAATGACTTCATTATTAAATCTAAATTAAGTTATAGTAAAAAAATAGAATAAAAGAAATTACACAAAAAACTAGAACTTTTAAATATATAATTTGATACAAAAATCGATGTATTTTTTTCATATACTATATTATAAATCATTTGACAAAAACTCTTAAAAACGACTTTTTATGCATTAAGTACTGTTTATTGATGCATATAACTTAAAATTCAAGATTTCAAGTAAATTGTTCGTATGTATAACTTATTAAAGCTTCTTGTTTGAATTTATGTAACTAACTATAGATAAACATAATCAAATTCTGGATAAATATTTCATTTTAAATATAAAAAATCTAAAATATACTTAGGATAATCATTGAATTCAAAATAATAAATATTATCTATACTATATTATAAAGCATTGGCAAAAACTCTTAAAAGCATTTTTTATACATGAAGTACTGTTTATTGATGCATATTACTTAAAATTCAAGATTACAAATGAATTATGCATAAGTACAACTTATTAAAACTCCATGTATGAATTCGTATAACTAACTGTGGATATACATAACCAGATAGAAAATAAACATAACCAAATAGAGGATAAACATCTCATTTTAAAATATAAAAAAATCTAAATGATGATAATTATTGAGTTCTAACAAAATAATTAATTATTATCTTTAAAGAAAAATTATATTATTAAACCAAATATAAATTACTTCGTTGTTGAACTTAAATTAAATTATTAAAAAATTGAATAAAAAATTTACACAAAAAATAGGAATTTTAAATAGTTAGTTTGATACTAATATCGATATATTTTTGTCAAATTTTTATGATATCTTTAAATTTATATTTTTCAAAAATAAAAAATATCATCGTTTTTTTAAAATCACATAAAACCATACTATAACATCGACTGAGATAAATAATAAAATGAAATATTAAAATCAAGATGTATTTCGCTGCATTGCACGAGTACCCTTCTAGTTTTTATAAAAGAACAATTCATTATTAAATCTAAATTAAATTATAATAAAAAATAAAATCAAAGAAATTACACAAAACAAAAAAATTTTAATATTTAATTTGATACAAAAATCGATATATTTTTCTTCAAAATTTTATGATACCTTCAAATTTATATTTTATTCAAAAAATAAAAACATTATCGTTTTTTTGGTACCATATAAAATTGTAATATAACATCGACGAAGACAGAATAAATGAAACATTAAAATCAAAATGTATCTTGTTGCATTACGCGAATACCCTTTTAGTGTAGGTTAAATGCAAATAATATAGTAAAAAAGTATCAAACATTAAATTTTAAAATATTTATATAAACGGAAAATAATATTTAATACTTTTTTTCCAAATACTTCATAATAAAAATAAACATAATAATTTAATTAAAACAAAATATATACTCATCACCACATAGATATAAATTAGTCATCTTTGACTAAAAAATAAGTCATATTTAATAGTGTTCCGAATCAATTTTTATATAACAGAATGGTACTTTGTACAATATACTTAGATAAATCTCAATTTTAATGTTTAGTTTTTATTCTTTGTCTTTATTGATATAATACGATTTTATGTGATAATGTTTTTATTTGGTGTAACTTCTTTAATTTTATTTTTTATTATAATTTAAATTTATTAACAAAATAATTTATTTTTGGTTTAACAATATAATTTTTTTATAAAAGAGAATTATTAAGCATTCTGTTATAACTCAATAATTATTTTAATTATATCTTAGATTTTTTATATTTAAAATGAATTTTTATCATGTATTTGATTATTTTTACATGCGGTTAGTTACACGAATTTAAAAAATGGAGCTTTAATAAGTTGTACTTACACAAAATTACTTGTAATCTTGAATTTTAAGTAATGTGGATTAATAAACTGTACTTCATGCATAAAAAATGGTTTTTAAGAGTTTTTGTCAAATGCTTTATAATATAGTATAGATGGTAACCTCTAAAACATCATATATATATATATATATTATATACATATATATATATATATATGTGTGTGTGTGTGTGTGTATTAGAAGCGTAATCATTCAATGCAATGAAATACATCTCAATTTTAATATTTTATTTTATAGTACAATTTTGTATGATTTTAGAAACTATAATGTTTGTATATTTGAATAAAATATAAATTTGAAAACTCATAAATTTTTGTATCGATATTAATATCAAATTAATAATTTAAAAATTCTCATTTTTTATATTATCTTTTAGTTCAATTTTTTAGTATAATTTAATTTAAATTTAATAGAGAAATAATTTATTTTAGTTCTAATAATAATGTTTTTTATAAAGATAATTTTAATTTTTATGTTACAATTTATTTTTGGTTTAATAAATTATTAATTTATTTTAAGCTGTATTGTGCAATATATATATATATATATATATATTCCCGTACTAATTGTGTCCTCATACAATGAAGTAAGATGTAAAATTTAATCTTATCCAAAAACGAAAAATTAATTAAGAAATCTGGATTCTATATTTGGATAAAATAAATTAGAAGAGGTTGTTAAATATATATTGTTAATTTGAAGACCCATAAAAACCTTGAAAAACATCATCGATATTAGTATTAAATTAACGTTTTAATAGTTTTTTTTTAGTATAATTTGTTCAATTTTAATTTTTTATTATCATTTACTTTATTTAAAGGATGTTTGGAATTGTTTATTTAAAGTGATTATTAACTTATCCCGGTGTGGTACCAGTAATAAAGAGTTTTTAACGTTTGGATTGGGAAAAATGAAATACCTATACCGGTTTGGCACCAGTAATAAAGAGTTTTTGATAAGTTACTCATTTATAACTTATTAACTTATGCCAGTGTGGTATCGATAATAAGAAGTTTTTAGTGTTTGGATTAAAAAAAAGAGTATTTCATCTATTTTATCAGGTTATCCGGTATGATACATCCATAAGCTAATTGTTAAGTTATTATATAAAATTATAATCTCAATAA